CAATCTTTGAACTTCCTTCCACTAGGAGATGACTGCAGTTAGCAACAGAGTCAGCACTGCTCTGTCCCTGTTTAGGTGTCATGGTTAAAATGTGTTTCTCAGGGTCACCTGCAGGTAGGCAAGCACCCGACCACATTCTGGATCGTGATATGCAGACGAATGTGAAGTTCGTCACTTTTAGACCTGACCCATAAAACCTCCCAGGTGTGAACCTTCGTGCTTTATGTCATCCTCCAGCTGAAGGGGTAGGACTCCAAGGCCCAAAGAGCAGTGTGGAGGCAAAGATCCCTGAATGACCTTCATAGGGTTCCCTAAGCAGAAATACCCACGATGGACTATGATGTGAGCAAGAAATAAACTCCAAAATATCAGCAATTTAATACAGTAAAAGTTTACCTCACATAGCAGGTAGTGTGATCCTACCTAATACACTACATTCTTTCCGCCTTTCTCTGTTGTATCCTTTCATAGGTATGCTGGAACATTCCAATACCTTTAAAAATGGCATTTCCACTCTTAATTTACCCATGTGAAGCTTTTTTCCCCAAAGCAAAGACATCCTGAAAGTCACTTCAACTGAGGAAATCATTTTTGAATATGCATTTTTGTAAAATTAGTTAACTTGTTCCTTAATAAACATGAGTGAGAATTGACCAGACTAGTGAGGATAGTGAAGAGTTGGTATTGAATCAGGTTCCTGAGACTTTTTTCCTCTTCCTCTTCCATTTTAGTTGGGGGTGGGGGGATAGGGACGAAGGCAAAAGCAAACATAGTATTATATTGTAAGGATAACCAGTATTAATAAAAATAATAGCTTTGAAGAATAATATTTGCATTTAATAAAGAATTGTGTACTTTTCCCATTTATTTCTCATGACAAGTCAATGATATGGGCAATGCTGATATGTAAGAAACAAGTTGGCTCAGGCTCAGAAAGATCACAGGCCTTGTCTGGATACACGTTGCTGGGGAATAGGAGAGCCCATTGGCTGAGCTTCACATCCTGTCCTACTACTACAGTAGAAGATAAATTCTACGGCCTAACCAGCTAAAATGGCATGTTTAGCAATTCTCGTATGTACTTTAATTAATTAAAAANGAGCGCCGCCGTGCTTCCCAAGCGGCGCACTATCCAGTGCGCCACCGGGCCGGCCCGAGGAAATCATTTTTGAATATGCATTTTTGTAAAATTAGTTAACTTGTTCCCTAATAAACATGAGTGAGAATTGACCAGACTAGTAAGGATAGTGAAGAGTTGGTATTGAATCAGGTTCCTGAGACTTTTTTCCTCTTCCTCTTCCATTTTAGTTGCGGGGGGAGAGGGGGATAGGGAAGAAGGCAAAAGCAAACATAGCAGTATATTGTAAGGATAACCAGTATTAATAAAAATAATAGCTTTGGAGAATAATATTTGCATTTAATAAAGAATTGTATACTTTTCCCATTTATTTCTCATGACAAGTCAATGATATGGGCAATGCTGATATTTAAGAAACAAGCTGGCTCAGGCCCAGAAAGATCACAGGCCTTGTCCGGATTCACGTTGCTGGGGAATAGGAGCGCCCATTGGCTGAGCCCCACATCCTGCTCTTACTACTACAGTAGAAGATAAATTCTATGGCCTAACCAGCTAAAATGGCATGTTTAGCAATTCTCGTATGTACTTTAATTAATTAAAAAAATAAGAAACTGGCATATTTTATTTCTTGTTATTAAAAAAGTATTTTTTGTTTTTGTTTTTTGGAGAGGTACAGGGAAGAATTAAATGTATAAATAAAATGTCTATATCTATTATTCATAAAATGTCTAGTAGTTTTTAATAATTATGGTTTGGCCAGATTAAATTTTTGTGCCTACTTAGTTTCTTTTTTAAAATAGGTTATGTACTCTTCATATTTACATAGATACTTATTTGTATATTTTGGCACAAAAATCAATAGTTACAACAGTAATACTTTTGGCCCAGTAGAAATTGATATGTTAGCACTTAACTTAGCCTTGGCTTTGAGAATTCTCATGCCTGGAAAACCTTACTAGGGGCATTAGAAGTCAAGGACAAGCTCTAGAAAAGCCAAGGTAGACTTAGGAGGATGAATTGATTCTACTCAATCCCAGCATGAAAAAAACAAAGATAATGTATTAAATGATTGCCGCCACTAAACACTAGTAACAAAAGTAAGCCACAACCTCCTCATTCTCACCTGAAAAATGTGGACAATGGAGCCTATGAAGTAGCTTCACAGGACTGTTAGATATAAAACACTTTGAAATCATAAGTACTGTGAAATCATAAGGTCATATATTTTCACTATGAACCCAAGGAAAAGCATGCTAATCTGCATTTCTCAGTCCTCTAAGGCTCTGGGAGAAAGCCACACCTATTTAGACCCATGGACATAATCCAATACTTTGGAATTCACCTTTGTGCTACAGAATTCCTAAGAGGGAACAGCTTTGAGTATGCCTACCTCGTGAGTCCTGGCTTTACTGTGGGCAAAGGTAAAGCCTCTCTAGAATTTACTGACAGGGTTCAGGACACGTTACCCCTAAAATAAGGCCCCTTGGCACTTGGGACAATGGCAGAAGCAGGAAGGCCACTCTCACCTTCCTGTTCTTCTCCCCTGAGGCAGCCATAACACCTTCGTTCCAGAGGTTCCCTGCTATACCCAGAAGAAAGAAATGTCCTTATCTCTGAAGACACCGGGACACAGAGAAGAATCAGAAAAAGCAGGCCTTGCTAACTTCCCCCAGTTTATTACCACTAGATCATACCCCCTTCTATCCAATCATATTTCTGCACAGCTGTCCACTCTTCATCAAACCTAAGCATAAAAATAAGCAGGTCTCCCTGTCTTTAGGTCTTCATTTATGAAAGCTCTCATATCACATAAAACTTACATTAAATAAGTTTGGTTACGATTTTCTTTTTTTAATTGACATTTAATTGTATGTATTTATGGGGTACTATGTGCTATTTCAATACCTGCATACGATGGGTAATAATCGAATCTGGTTAATTAACATATCCATTACTTCTAACATTTATCTTTTCTCTGTGTTGGGAATACTCAAAATCCTCTCTTCTAGCTAAATGAAAGTATACAATAAATTGTGTTTCTCATAGTCACTCCACAGTGCTACAGAACACTAGATCTTATTGCTCCTACCTAGCTGTGATTTTGTGTCTGGGAACCAGCCTCTCCCTATACCCCACTCCTCCCTACCCTTCCCAGCCTCTGGTAACCACTATTCCACTCTCTACGTCTATGCAATCGACATTCTTTGTTTCCACAGGAGTGAAAACATGTGGTATTTCTCTTTCTGTTCCTAGCTTATTTATTTCGCTTAACATAATGTCCTCCAAGCTCATCCATGTGGTTATGCTTTTCGCTTGTTCGTCTGTCTTTTGTCATATGTACTTCAGTCATGAACTTAGCAGTGGGTGAGAAAAGAAATCTTTTCTCCCCTGTAATATCTACTATACGCCTCCCCTGGGACTCTGTCACAGCTTCCTTCCCTTCTTTCTTGTTTTTTAAATGCATAAAGAAAAACTGCACAAAATTCTCTTTCCATGAGTCGCTGACTTAAAGGGAAACTTAAGCCATCATTTCACAATGAGAAAAGGGCTGCAGCATTAGAGGACTAGAGTCTAGGATGGGAGGTGGAGACAGCAGGGAAGAGGGAGAAGAGCTGGTGCTGGGCATTATACCCAGCTGTCTAACTTATCACTGGTGATGTCCCATGGCAGACAGGGCAGGTTTACAGGGAAAGATGGCCTCTCAGTGTTGAATTGGTTGAACCCAAGGTACTCTAGGACATTCAAGTTCAGGAGGTAAGGAGACAGCAGGGAAGAGGGAGAAGAGCTGGTGCTGGGCATCATACCCAGCTGTCTAACTTATCACTGGTGATGTCCCATGGCAGACAGGGCAGGTTTACAGGGAAAGATAGCCTCTCAGTGTTGAATTGGTTGAACCCAAGGTACTCTAGGACATTCAAGTTCAGGAGGTAAGTGCAATCTAGAATCCAGCAGAGAGAGCTACAGTCAACGACAGAGACTGAAACCATGGGTTTAGATGATACCACCCAGATGGCAAATAAAAGGCCCAGCAGAGGAGGACTGAAAAGGTGTCACTGGACAGACTGGGTGAACACAGAAGATTGTGATGACTCAGAGGCCAAAGGGAAATTGCCTTTCATTAAGGATGGAGCTTTCTGTGTCAAGCAACTGCTGAGATATCAAGATGATGGATGGCTGGAAAGAATCCATGGGATTAGGTCAGGAGTGACCTTGGCAGGGTAGTTCTGAGGTGGGTAGGTAGAGATGGAAGATTTTGGTGGACTGAGAAGTGCCAGGAAGGTGAGGGACAGAGACAGTAGGCACGGACAAACTTTTTCAAAAATTTGGCTATGAAGGAGAGAGAAGACATTAACCTGAGAGAGACATGGGATAAAGAACATTCAGGCTCATCAGAACATACAATTCAATCTTCTACTGGAGAAGAGAGAGCAGGACGCTGAGAGTCACACCCTGGTGCCCCCACTGAGGGCCCCTTCTCCACCACATCAGTTTTCAGGTTATCAAGCAAAGGGACCTTAACAGAAGGTCAGAGCACAGAGGTGGGGGAGTACATGCGTGCACTCCAAAATCAAATGCAAACTATCTCTAACTACAAATAAATTATTTGGTACTTATTTCACCTTCTCACCTAGATACTGTAAAATGCTACAGACACAGCCTATTTATCTCACCCATGTCTGATATTTTTCTAGGGACTTCCAGGTGCAGCTCTGTTCTGAAGAGTTGGAAACTTTACAGCATTGTCTTTTCCAAAATTTCTGAGCACCAAGTTGAGATGCTTTGTGCACATATCCCAGGTAGAGGGTCTAATCTCCTTAACTATATGTGTTCTTGTTATGCAAAGCACTTTAGCAAGACTCTCCAGCTTTCCCCCTGAGAAGAAAAGGGTGAGGGAGAGATGGGGTCTCCCTAGCCCACCTACCGCTGCTTGGGTGGGTTGCTGCTTTTTATTCCGTTTTGGCCTTAACTTGGTAAAGTGCTCCAGCTTCTTCCCTTCTTCAGAGGGCAACTCAAAGATAAATCCTGAGCTCCGCTTCTCTTGTTTGAGAGACGGGAAAGGCGGATCTTCGATGTGAATTGGCACCTCTTCCAGTGCTTTATCTAGATCAAACTCCATTTCTAAAATTTAAAAAATAATTAATTAATTAAAAAGGCCCAAGGCCAAAGCTTAATGAAGAGTTGAATAAAAAATTCTAAAGTAATTTGAATTCTAAAACACAATGGCCAATCCCCATTCGCAAATCACTTAATTCTCCTTTTCAATATTTACCCATATAGAAAATCCCTAAGAAACATTCCTAAAATGATCTGAGGTCTTTGCTGAGGGTGTTTCATAGTTACAAGAAAATAACTGGCATTAGGAAAATATTCACTTACCAAAGGCCCTGGAAACAGGCCGTAGCATTCGACTATGAATACTCTTCCTTTTAGATTTAGGTGTCATCTGGCAATAAAACAAACCAAGAAGCACTTACACAGGCAGCCACAGAAAACCTGCCTCTCAAACTGCAGAAACATTCTGGATCGATTGTTCAAACTCAGTATTTGTTTTTCTTTAGAGGATGGTTTGTTACCATCTGATAGCCTGGCTGAAGAGAATTGATACATTTCTAAATGTTTACAATTTCTCAAATGATACAGCTAACTTTTTCTTTCTTTCTCAAAGCCCTAACAAGTTAAATTCTATTTATATCACTGAAAAGAATAATGAATGATATAGAATTAAGTCCAAGCTGTACATGAGGATGTTAAAATAGACATAAAGAATAAAATTTAAAAACTATTAAAAATCAGTCACAAAAACCTGAAAACACAATTATTCACTGTTCATTGTTAAAGGCAACATAATGTAAGCAGTATTGAACTCTTTCTGTCACTTCAATAGTTTAAGTAGTTTAACTCTTTTGTTTCACACTTTACCACCAAGATTTTGATATTTTTATCACGGGCAAAGACCAGGAAAATGTGCCATAATTCAAAAAGTCTGCATCTGGTGGCACTTCTCAGCAAGATGTCTTTGATTCTGCTAGTCATTAAAAAAATGGAACCCAAAGTCAAACCAAGGCCAAAACTTAAGAGTATTTTCCCAGCATTGGTGTCAACTGTTTATGGTGCAAAGCCAACCCTCAGAACCACATTATCTTCCCCCTCGACAGGACCACACAAACACCAAAGCTGGCAGGAACCTTTGCCATCACTTGCATGAGTAAACTTGAGGAAAAAAGTGAGCCATGGAAATGATAAAGGCTAACGTCTGAGCTGTCAGTAGGAACAGGGCTAGGGGTAGAACTCAGTGTGCGGGTTAGCCCAGCATCCTTCCCATCACAACACTTATTACCAATATACAGATGGATAGGTTTTAGGGATGTTTTAACTGGTTTGATGCTGGAAACTGGTATTTGTGTAAACTAAGAGACAACATGACTGAAAGAACTTAGTTTGTATACTTTAACTTCACTTAATAGGTTGTCATCTAAGGCTTTCTAAAAAAAAAAAAAATCCACATAGTTGAAAAACATTCTTTGGCTCAAAGAATAAATTGGTTCATACTACAG